ATTTAGAAACAAAAAACAACCAGAACTGACAGAAAATTGAACTGTATGGAAGTCTGACAACCAGTCATCCAGAGCATGAGAGGGGCAGAGTCAGTGGCCAGGGGAGAGGGGTCGAGGCAGGAAAAAGCGGTGGTTGGTGGACCTGGGTGCAGGGTGGCAATGAGCAGACCCAGTGAGGTGGGCAAGGTGGCTGGGTGACCGCGATCACACATCTGTGCACTGATAAACCAGATGAAAGCGGGCAGCAAGACAGACCATGCAACCCAGAGTGAGCCCAGCCCTGGGAAATAAAGCCTGAAAGCACTGATTGAAAACACTTGTGGGGGTTGAGGTTCTGGGAGAGACTCCCAGCCTCACAGGAGAGTTCGTTGGAGAGACCCACAGGGTCCTACAATGTACATAAGCCCCCCACCCAGGAACCAGAACGGCCCAATTTGCTTGCGGGAAGTGGCAGAAGGGACTGAAATCAAAAGAGAGCACTAGAGCGGAGCATGTACCATTGTTCCCTTTCTGACCCCGCCCCCACATACAGCCTCACAACCCAGCTACTGGGTTGCCCCACCCTGGTGAACATATAAGGCTCCGCCCCTCACTACATAACAGGCTAGACCAGACCCCCCCCCCAAAAAAAAGGCTCAAGTGGAAGAACAGATCAAAGCCCCAGAGCCAATACAACTAAGCAACCAAGAGATAGCCAGCCTATCAGATGCATAGTTCAAAGCACTGGTGATCAGGATGCTCAAGGAATTGGTTGACTTTGGTCACAAATTAGATGAAAAAATGAAGGTTACACTAAGTGAAATAAAGGGAAATGCACAAGGAACCAATAGTGATGGGAAGAAAACTGGGACTCATATTAATGGAGTGGACCAGAAGGAAGAACAAAACAACCAAACAGGAATGAAGAAACAAGAATTCAAAAAAAATGAGGAGAGGCTTAGGAACCTCCAGGACATGTTTAAGTGTTACAACATCTGAATTACAGGGGTACCAGAAGGAGAAGAGGAAGAGCAACAAGTGGAAAACTTATTTGAACAAATAATAAAAGAGAATTTCCCCAATCTGGCAAAGGAAATAGACTTCCAGGAAGTTCAGGAAGCTCAGAGAGTCCCAAAGAAGTGGGACCCAAGGAGGAACATACCAAGGCACATCATAATTACATTAGCCAAGATTAAAACGAAAGAGAATTCTAGAAGCAGCAAGAGATAAGGGGACAGTGACCTACAAAGGAGTTCCCATTAGACTGTCATATGCTGGAATTTTCGGATTTCTCAAAAGATACCTCTCTTTTTCAGATTTCTCAAAAGAGACCTTACAGGCAAGAAGGGGATGGAAAGTATTGCAAGTCATGAAAGGCAAGGACCTACATCCAAGATTGCTCTATCCAGCAAAGCTTTCATTTAGAATGTAAGGGCAGATAAAGTGCTTCTCAGATAAGGTCAAATTGAAGGAATTCATCATCACCAAGCCCTTAGTATGTGAAATGTTAAAGGGATTTATCTAAGAAAAAGAAGATAAAAAATACAAACAGTAAAAAGACAGCAAACTTACAGTTATTAACAACCACATGTAAAAAGCAAACTAAGCAAAACAGCTAGAAGAGGAACAGAACCACAGAAATGGAGATCACATGGAGGGTTAGCAACAGGGGAGTGGGAGGAGGGGGGGTGAAAGGTACAGAGAATAAGTAGCATAGACAATAGGTAGAAAATAGGGGGAGGGCAAGAGTAATGTGGGAAATACAGGAGCTAAAGAACTTATGACACATGGACATGAACTAAAGGGAACAAGAACCCAATGTGGGTGGGAAGGGGTGTGCAAGGTGGACGGGAATGAAGAGGGGGAATGGGGCAACTGTAATAGCATAATCAATAAAATATATTTCAAAAGAAAGCTAGGAAGTTCTGTAAGGTTTTTGCAGTTTTTCAAAATTGTTGTTAACACATGCTAACTGAAATTGCAGTCCATGGTACTCTACCTTCACTAATCTGTAGGTTCTACCACCAGTCATGCTTGCACTAGTTTAATAACATCCTGTTTGTTTTCTTGTAAACTTGATATAAACTATGGAAGGTGTGTGTTTGAGAAAGAGATGTTAATTATCTAAAAACTAAATTGTTTACTTTGAGAAAGAATTTTATTTTCAGGGGAAACTATTTCTTTTGTCTCCGTGTTACTCAAACCAAAGGTTGGAAGTTTATATTTCTGCTGTGCACATTGCTTTAATATAAAGTAGACACATGTGCCTATAGAACCTTTTTTATGATGCTTTAAATAATTAAATGGTAAAGTTTCTATGGAATGAGGTAGCTTTTAAGGGTTCTTTATTAAAAGTGCAACTGGGGCTGTTTCCAAAGTCCTGACAAATGCTGTCCAAGAAGAATTTATCACATCATTGGGAGTGGCAGGGGTCACTATACACTGTTAAGACCACATGGAGAAAGTTGTTCATTATTTTTGTTTATTCCAGGAGTTGCAGGTATGTTTTCTTTTAGCAATGAGTTTATCAAATACACATATTTTTCTAGATAAGTCATTATAACCAGTCATTCTGTTAAAATAGCCCTTTCATCATGGGTGACGTTCATGACCACTCTTTGGGAATGAGCAGAAGCATGTGTCTCAGAGTTCCAGCCAAGATGGAGGCATAAGTAGCAAAGCCTTGCTTCCTTGCGCAACAAACAGAAGGATAACAACCAATTTAAAAACAGTAAACAATCAGAACTGCCAGAAAAATCAAACTGCATGGAACTCCGACCAAGGAGTTCATCCTGACAAGTAGGAGGGGCAGAGATGGGCACCAAGTGGAAGGGACACAAGGCAGTGGACCGGGCAGGCAAGGCTGGGCTGTCTGAACAGAAAACTAAAGACTCAGAACCTCCAGTTGTAAAATAGTGTGGAGATTGCAGTTGGCGGGAAAAACTCCCAGTCTCACAGAAAAGTTTATTGGAAAGTGGGGCTAGATTAGAACTGGTGAGCAGCATTGTTCCCTCTCTGACCCTTCCCCCACAGACAGCCTCACAACACAGCAAAGTGGGTTGCCCCACCCTAGTGAATACCTAAGGCTTTGCTCCTATGCAATATAACAGGTGCACCAAGACAAATAAATGTGGCCCAAATGACAGAACAGATCAAAACTCTGGAAAAAGACAAGGAAGGAGATAGAAAATTTCTCGGATAGATGCAGAGTTGACAACACTGGTAATCAGGATACTCACAGAAATCATAGAGTTTGGTCACAAAATGAAGGAAGAAATGACAGCTACAAAAAAATTAAATAAAGCAAAATGTATACGAAACCAACAGTGAAGGGAAGGAAACTGGCACTCAAATCAACGATCTGGGGCAAAGAGAAGACATAAACATCCAACCAGAATGAAGAAATAAGAATTTTTTTTAAATGAGAGGCTTAGGAACCTGTGGGACAACTTTAAGCACTCCTACATCGACTGAATTACAGGGGTGTCAGAAAGAGAAGAGAAAGAGCAAAAAGTTGAACATTTACTTGAACAAATAATGAAGGAAAACTTCCCCAATTTGGCCAAGGAGATAGATTTCCAGGGAGCTAAGACTATCAGCTGATTTCTCAAGAGAAATCTTGCAGGCAAGAGAAAAGGCTGAAGAGAAGTATTCAAAGTCATGAAAAGCGAGTACCTACAACCTAGATTACTCTATACAGGAAGGCTGTCATCTAGAATGGAAGGGCAGATAAAGTGCTTCCCAGATAAGGTTAAGTTAAAAGAGTTCATCATTAACAAGTTCTTACTATATGAAATGTTAAAGGGACTTATCTAAGAAAAAGAAGATCTAAAATTATGACCAGTAAAATGACAACACACTCATAACTATCAATAACTAAACCTAAAAAAACAACAAAAACTAAGCAAACAGCTAGAACAGGAACAGAATCAGAAATGGAGATCACATGGCAACTCATCAGTGGGGGGATGCGTGCTGGAGGATTCTACAGGTGAAAAACCTGTGTCTAATATTTGAGCCTAGAACCTCTTTTATATGCATGGTTTTAATATTTACTGGTATTGCTTTCTAGTATTGCTACTGTCAGGTAAATCTGGGAGGATTGTACTGTGTTGAATTTTCTCAAGACTTGTTTGCCATTTCAGAAAATCATGTCATCAGTGGGGATGCTTTTGTGTCTAACTACGTGGTACACCTGCTTCAGTTTTCATTAGTAGCTGTGTTCACACAGATTCCCGCCTCTCATTGCCTTATAGGGTACTCAGACTTGTGAATACCAAAATTCATAACAGTGCTTTCTGACTCACTGTCCTAATTCATCTTTATGTTACAGACAGAGCACTGTATTATGGTCCTCTCTCCTGTTGTTTGTGTTACGCGTTTAAGGTGTCTAAAGATTTCATTTCAAGATCATTTTAAATCTGAGGCATTGTTTCTGATAATGTGAGAGCCATTGGCTCCAGGTAGCAACAGTCTTTTGGTCTATGTTGTAAAATACTAAATTCTTGTGAATGTGGGCAGAAGTGGCCAGGTGACGGGAGGCAGTTGCAGCTCTCAGAGGATGCAGGGAGCAAAGCTTCCAGGTAATAGGGAGGGGGCAGGAAGCTGCCTGTCATTGATCTGTGCTCCTTCTCTGTGAATTGATTCTCTAATGGGCTCTGTGGGGTAGCGTTCTTCAAGACTCAGGCTTCTTGTATTTGCCACCTACCCCAATGCAGAATTCTCTGGTTACTCTGCACCATCTCGGGGGAAAACAGGGTGTCAAGAGACCTGCCCTGTATTTCTGAGAAGACATGTGACTGAGAGGTATAGGGCAGAGATGAGAATGAAGAATGAAGCTGGCTGGCTTCTTCATCATGTTACTGAATTCCTTATTGGTGTGGAATAGATTCAGACATTAAATCATTTTATCAGTCTCAGTTTCCCAGGTTTCTGCCCTTCTGTCTGTGCATTCCTGATGAAGAGCCAAGCCCCGTTCCACATCAGACTGGCCCATTCCAAAGCCTGTGTTTTCTCCGCAGGGTGAAGTGACTTGGAGCCTTCCCCCCTGCCTGCTGCATTTCACCCCCTGTAATCTCTGTACCCTCCTGCTCTTCGTGCTCTCAGATACCTGCCATCCATTCATCACTGCAGGCCACTTGGTGCCTGCCAGTCACTCCTTCACCTCTGGTCTGGGAGATGTGGTGCTTTACCTGGTCCTCACAATTTTAGCACTAATGAAAGGTTGTAATTTTTTCCTGTAATGACTATTCTCCCCCTCTTCTAATTCATTCCTGATATTTTAGACATTTCCCTGTTTATAAGCACCTTTTCCAGCAGCTTGTTCAGGACATAGAGAGGAGGACAGACGTTAATTCAGACATACCGTGGATGTTCCTGAGGAAGGTTTGCTCAGGGAGAGGAAACTAGCATGCGTTTAGTTTGGTTTCATTTGTAATAACCATGTCCACTGTTAATATAAAAAGTTGAGTTCACACTGGGCTGTGGCATGTGGTAGACTCTGAGTGACACAAGGTGAGGATGGCCAGCCGGCCACCGCACCCGGCAGGCTGACCGTTGGGCAGATCGTTGAGCGCCAGATCGAGTGCCAAGCTGACTGCTGCAGCCTTGGTACATTCCCAGTTTCCGCACAAAGGAATCCAGTTTTATTTTTTGGTGTGGTGCCTGTGCTGTATTTGTATTTCAATTCAGCATATTTTGCCCTCTTCTAGTTTCAAACAGACTAACTTGAGCCAAGAAAATTAACGTTTTTTCTCATAATAAAAGTGACACAGCGTACTAGAGAAAATTTAGAAAATAGAGGAAGGTATAAAAAGAAAGAAAATTGAAAATTTAGAAAATACAGGAAGGTATAAAGAAAGAAAATTGAAAACTGCCAGTAATCCAGTCATCCAGAGAGCTACTTTTAATATTTTGGTGTTTGTTCTTTAGGTCTTAGAGAAAATAATTATTGAGAAAGAAAGGGAGTGTGTTTTATATTTGTGACTTATACTTTGTGACTTGAAGGGTAGTTTACTGCGGCTACTTTTTTTTTGTAGTTAATTGAATACAGTGACTTTGAAATTCTGCCTTTTTGGAAAGATCTGTTCTGTGCCTTTCAGGGAAGATAACTTGATTAGCAGTGAATACTGGATTTCAGCATTTAACTGCAGCTGTGGTCCTGGCTTTCCCAGGACTCGTATGCCCTAACCAAATCTGTTTGAAACCCATCCCCTGTATAGTGGAGTAAACTTGTAAATGCAAGCTGCAGTTTGACCTCATAAGTTGGTGGTAGGTTTGTTTGGGTATGAGGACTTGTGGATTATAGGCACACCTCACTGATATTGCAGGTTCACCCCAAAGTATGGCAGTAAAGCAAGTCATAATCTGTGTTGCTGGTGGAAGGTCATGCTTTTTTAGTTTGTAGAAAACACATCTGTGAAGTGCAATAAAATGAGATATGCCTGCACTCCTACCTGTGACTGTGTGTGATCATCGATGTAAACAGTGGCGGCGGCCTTGTTGCATTTCCTCTCCCTCTCCCAACATGAATCGAGCTGACATCCATTTCAAGAACTGAGGGTGTACGTACTTCATGACTTGTGCTTGGAGCTTGTAGTCACAATATGGAAATTGTGGAAGATGAGCCTCTGTTCAGCAATTATCTGTGAGGCCAGTTCTGTTCTACTTTAAGAGTAAGAGTAAGAAATTGAGAACTCCCAACTTATTTCTAAGGAATATACAGCTATACAGCCATTTCCTGTTTTTTGGATTTTATTAAAATGCAAGTAGCCTTGACTTCAAAGTAGTATAATCAAATCCTGAAGAGGTGCAATTCTGATGCTTTGCCTCTTCGGTGCTTCATTGTCGGCCTGGCTGGCTTATCTGACACCTTGCTGTCTACACTGGTGAAAATCCCTCTCGGTTCAGCTTGGTCCCAGGCTTAATGGGAAACATGGAATTTGCAGTGCCCACTGCATCCCTGGGGTGGGCAGGAGCACATCCCTGACCCACCAAGTATGCTTCGTGATACATTTGGGGTGATGAATATTAATTATTTTGGTTATCAACAGATTTCTCTTGTATTTACTTAAGTGAGATGGAGCCAGTGTACATCTTTGCTTTTGCTCCTCATGATCTGCTGCATTTTTAAAAGAATGTCTTGAAATGTAAGTGGATGCCCTCCTCCCCCCAGCATGCAATAGCAGAACATATTCTGGTTGGCACATGCACGTAACCCCAGAACGCCAGCACGTGATGTTGTGTAGGCCTCCACTTTAATGGGAGAAGGGAGTAAGTCCAGAGCAGTTTTTCTAGAAACTGATACTACCTGATAGAAACCTCAACATCTGTCAAAGACCAGGAGCACAACTGGGTGCTGATGCACAATCTGTGGTCAGACAGGTGGAGTGGGATCAGAACTGTGTGCCTCTGAAGCCGAAAGGAAGCTGTTGGGTGTCACTCCCATGAGGGACCAGATGATTGCCCAAGTTCGTGATCCTGTTCCAGCCCAACTCCTGGAGGGAGGGGGAAATGAAAACATACACTTTCTAAATGGTTGCTGGATCATGTCACCTTAGTTTTCCTTTGGGAAATACATCTCAATTCAGAGACATGAATGTTGTCTGCTCCCCCATCTGTCAACTTGTCCCAGGTATCTGGAGGATTTTCCTGTTTGTAGACTGGGTCCTACGGCTGAGGGGCTTTGATGTTCATCTCCCACACCCCTTCTTTTGATTACATATGTTTCTGCTAAAGACGTCTTTTTTCCGGTGCTGACAGGGACATGAAGTTCCTTGGTCCCCTGTAGCTTTTTGTACTTCGTGGTTTCTCTCATCTTGTTTTATTAACTGTAATGTGGAAAGAGACCTGATCTGAAGACACATGGCCCAGGATATCAAACTATAAAGTGTGGTCCCACAAAACATCCGATGTGACTTAAAGTGGGCCTGGAAACACGCTTTGTCATGTGTGTACAAGAATACCCCACTGGCCCTGCCTGTCTGAGGCCAGCTGTCTGTAGTGTGCCTTCCTTTCCAGGTCTTCCCTCCTAGAGCTGTGGGCTCACCTTCTGAGCCTCCTGGGGTGCTGGGGCTGGGTAGGCCTTCCCCAGGTTCAGGGGTGCCCTTCCGGGCCTGAAGGTCTGTCAGTCTCCATGTGGCCTATCAGAGGACCTGTCCCTTCAGGACCAGGGTGGGCTCCCGCCCCCAGGCAAACAGGGTGGGTCCTACAGCACTGGTTTTAATACTGCCTCTCAGGTAAGTTCTCAGGTAAGAAAGTTCTGTCGTTCAGAGGTATGAAATCAGAAGCAACAGGGTGAAATCTTCGGGGGCCATTGAGAGGAATGTTCATCCTTACTGTGGGTGTCCAGTGGCTGACATTCTCCCAGGATACCCTCTGCTCCAAGGCACAGGACTTCATTTAGGCACATTGCAGTAGCACCAGAGTCTGGCTAGTTATAACTACTGAATAATAGACATTCCTCAGGAATAAGTACTTATGCATTGAAACAAATCTGTGAATACATGACAGAATAAAGACAGGGCCAGGTGCTTTGTAGTTATTCCCACTTCTGTGTCTTTATTCTTTTTTTTAATAGTACTTTTTAAAATTGACTTTAGAGAGAGAAACATCAATTTGTTAATCCACTTATTTTTGCAGTCATTAGTTTATTCTTGTTCTGACCAGGGATTGAACCCCACAACCTTGGTGTACTGGGAAGACGCTCTAACCAACTGAGCTACCTGACCAGGGCCTCTGTGTTATGAGTCTGTGATAAAGTTGCCTGTCACTGATTTTATAGGATTTGTTGCCCTGAGAGTTTCCCAACGTCTTTATTGACTCAGGGATGTATGTGATCTTGTGTGTAATGGTGTTAAGGATTTTCCTAATATTGTGCCAGGGGGTAGAACACTGGAGTTCCTTTTAGAATGCCTGTTTTTAGGGTACCCGCATAACTTCCAAGATTTCAACCGGGAACAGTGCAGTTTGAGGCACACCTGACATGGTGTGTAGGGTCCACATGGGGGAGTAGAATCCAGCCGCTTCAGCCAACTCAGGTAGCTAAAAATAGTCCCATGGCTGGGTGCTATTAATCTCTAAGGTAGTTCTTCACTGCTGGGCCACAGTTGGCACAAGTCACTTGCTTGCCTAGTGTGTCCTCATTTTACCTCTCCTTTTGATAACCTTTATTCCCCTTTTTGGTACAAGTCTGTGTCTTGACCTGTCGAGTCAGGTGCTTCATGCCCTCCACGTGCTGCCCAGTGTGTCTCCATTCTCCTCTCCAGCCCTGACATGGTGACTCCTTCCCTCCGACACAACCACCTCATCCAGTTACCCTCTCCTTCCACTCCTTAGAGCTCTTCTGGCTTGCTTTTCTTTCTTCCACAGGTGCTGTGATAAACCAGTAGAAGTGATGGGCTGACGTGTGTGATCCTCAGTATTGGTCAGAGGTTTTTCATGTTAAGAGAGTTTTGCTAGAAGTACAGTTCCATAACTCAAAGTGTTCCCCTTCTTGAGAGTGAAATATTCTGGGACAACTTCAAACATTCCAACATCCTAATCATAGGGGTGCTAGAAGGAGAAGAGGAAGAACAAGAAATTGAAAACTTATTTGAAAAAATAATGAAGGAGAATTTCCCCAATCTAGCCAAGGGAATAGACTTCCAGGAAGTCCAGGAATGTCAGAGAGTCCCAAAGAAGTTGGATCTAAGGAGAAACACACCAAGACACATCATAATTACATTACTCAGGATTCAAGATAAGGAGAGAATCTTAAAAGTAGCAAGAGAAAAGGAGACAGTTACCTACAAAGGAGTTACCATAAGACTATCAGCTGATTTCTCAAAAGAAACCTTATAAGCAAGAAGGGGCTGGAAAGAACTATTCCAAGTCATGAAAGGCAAGGACCTACATCCAAGATTACTCTACCCAGCAAAGCTATCATTTAGAATAGAAAGGCAGATAAAGTGCTTCCCAGATAAGGTCAAGTTAGAGGAGTTCATCATCACCAAGCTCTTATTATATGAAATGGTAAAGGGACTTATCTGAGAAAGAAAAGATAATCAAAACTAGGAACAGTAAAATGACAATATACTCATAACTATCAACAACTGAACCTAAAAAAAAAAACAAAACAAAACAGCTGAACCTAAATGGAAACAAACTAAGCAAACCACTAGAACAGGAAGAAAATCACAGAAGTGGAGATCCCATGGAGGGTTATTAGCAGGGATGGGGGGCAGGGAGAATGGGGGGAAAGGTACAGAGAATAAGTTAACATAAATGGTAGGTAGAAAAATAGACAGGAGGGGTTAAGAATAGTATAGGAAATGGAGAAGCCAAAGAACTTTTATGTACGACCCATGGACATGAACTAAGGGTGTGTGTGTATGGGAGGAGGCATGCAGGGCAGAGGGGAATAAGGGGGAGGAGGGGGTGGGACAAGTGTAATAGCATAATCAGTAAAATATATTAAGACCAAAATATGCACATATTGGTAATTTTCCCCTTAAACTGGACACTGGCCTGTGGCCTCATTTGATTCATTCGTCCTTGTTTATGTGGGCTGAAGGCATTTGTTTAGGAGACATAAATATCCTTATGTTTTTAATGGAGAAAGGTTGGAGTAGTCATGCTTTTAATCCTGAGCAGCTGAGAGTCTTTGCTTTGACATCAGCCACACTGAGACGAGCAGATCCTGTTTCAGTGATGGAATATGGGCCACTAGAAAGAGGGGTTTGACAAGCAGGCCTTGCTGTGATTCTCTCTAATGTTTGGATTGGATTGACTGATACAATTCTGGTTTGTTTTGAAGCTGGGAGGGAAGTGGGAAGACATCTTCCATACCTGGTATTTCATTTAATAATTTAGAAGAAAACCAGTTTTAACAATAATTGCACCCGTTTTCTCTGGGAACTGGTCACTAATTGTTAGCGTATTTGAAAAAAGCTGCCCCTAACATGCATTTTGTAGGAGTAGCCAGTAACCAGAGCTGGCAGTTCTGCTTACGTGGTGGGCCAGTCGGAACTTCTTGAAGATTTAAGCAGAAGTACATTTCTAAGGAATGTCATCCGTACTGGTGGTTTGCTGTTTCTTAAATGAATATCTTTGACACCAAATTTAGATAATACATATATATTTTTTTAAGAAATTGCTGCATGAAATCTAACCTTGAGGGTATTTGGAATCTTCCAGTGACCTTCCTTGCTTTCTCAAGACCTTACCACTGATTTCTCAGAAGGACAATTAAAAAAATAGTTATTTGAAGTATGTAAATAAAATTTTTTTTTGACTTAGTAATGCATGAAGATGGGAATATTCTGGTGGGTCCTACTTGCTTTTAATATTTGCCTGTGGAGAGAAAGAACCTAAATTTTAAATAAACTTCTAAGAGTAGCTAATCCTTAAAATGACAAGATTCATAATGGAAGGTGGGGGGGAGGTTTTTTATCCCTTATAAAGGTGTTTAATCTTTTTAAGCTTTCTGTATTCTCCTGTTATCTTTTAAAAACATTGGCTATAAAATATGTATTTACTTGCTTTTAAGCAATAATGTGACATTGCATTATTTTCAGCAGATGTCAGAATGGTGGGGAGTTTTTTGGTTTGTTTGTTTGTTTGTTTGTTTGTTTGTTTTAACTTGGGGAGAATGCTGTAGTTTGTTCCACATGTCACCAGGCATGGCAGAAGGACAGGTGGAGGAGAGCTGTTGCTCTGAGCTCCATGTCGAAGTCAGCCTGGGTGCTGTGGGTTTAGAGCTCTGAGGTCTTGCTCTCCAGCCTGGCCACAGCTTGCCCCAGCAGTCAGTGCCCTGAGTGTCATCTCTGGGCTATTCGGCTGTGATGGAAGCAGATGCTCACTGCAGTTTGGTAAGATACGCATTCTGAATGTCCCACTTGCAGATAGTTACCACTTTCATTCCAAGCAGATAGTCTGATGTTTAGTTGGAACCACACAGGTGTATGAGATGGGTTCAGCCTAAGAGGGGGCATGAGAACGGTAGAGATCCCAGAGGGGCTTTGGAGTGTTTCTTAATCAAGAAGAGCTCAGAGCGTTGTTGGCTATGAGTAACTGTTTGAAATTTCTGGCATAATATTTTTGTATCCATCCACCTTTTAGCCTTTATTATGACTTTAATTTTTTTTCCTTTATTAACCTCTAGCCACTTTATCTAAGAATTCTTTCTGAAGTCAGTTTATTTTAACCAGAAAGCTGATTAGAGTTCATTGCTAAAAAATAATAGGTTCGACAAAATGACCATGAAAAATATTTTCATTCTTGGCATGTAAAAGTCATTGTCCAAAGTATTGCCACGTGTATTTATGAAAGATGAACAGGGTTTTATTACTTGAGATTATGGTATGACATTTTGGACATTAAAACTCGGTGAATTCAGGTGTTTTCCTTGGAGTTTAACTTGCATTTTCCCCTGGAATATTCACATTTCTCCTCTGCCTAATTTTGTGGATTAAAAAAAGCATAACATTTGTTCTGGGCAATATAGGAGATTACTGAAGCACTGAGGAAAGAGCATGTTGAGAGGAGTAAACAGTTCAGTCAGGATTGCAAAAAGGAAAGCCCGAAGCCCTCTTCATTCCTCTTCAGCTGCTGTTCGCAAGCCTTCAGTCACTCTTAGGAACTATGGCAACATTGCAAGTGATTTATCTAAATAGTGCAGCCCATTACCTAGCAGAACAAGCTAATAAATTCCTGAGGGTTGATCTGGCTTTACTTTCTGATTGACAGTGATCCTGACCAGCTTTCTGACTGAGCCCCCATTTACCACATGTGACAAGGAGTGTGATGACATGGTGGGGAATGGTGGCCCCTCAGACACATAGGAAACACATAGAGCTCTTTAGATAAAAGTTCCTCAGTGTGGGAAACCTTCCCTCTGTGTCCATCCTTTCACCCATGCCTCATGCAAAGTAAGTTCTTAGGCTGGTATTATCCAGATCTAAAGCTATACATACTGTTTTAACACAGGGGGAGGGATGTAAGTTTCCCGAAGAAGCAAGTGCATTCAAGCAGAGGAAAAAAAACAAAACACTGAGCTCTGACTGGTATGGCTTGGTTGGGCGTTGTCCCATAAAGCGAAAGGTTGCTGGTTTGATTTCTGGTCAGGGCACGTGCCCGGGTTGTGGGTTTGGTCCCTGGACAGGGCGTGTGCAAGGGCCAACTGATGGATGTTTCTCACATCAGTGTTTTTCTCTCCCTCTCTCCCTTCCTTTTCCTTTCTAAAAATAAATAAATAAACTCTCAAACACTGGTTTCACTGCAGTTATACCAAAAGAGATGGTATAACTAAAACAGATTCCCTAGAAAGCTAGATGCCATCAACCTTGAATGACAGGGTAGATATAAATGAACCCAGCCCAGTGTGCTTTGGGAAACATGCTGTTTCCAGCAGCTGCATTATTGCATTAGGCTGTGAATTCTTCTCTGCTTTGGTTTCTAGGCAACTTGCACAAATTTTAAATCTGAATATAAACATATACATACACTTCTCCTCCTACCCCCTGCAAAAAACCAGAAAAACAAAAAACAAGATTGAATAAAACGATAGAAAGCCTAATGACATAACTCACCCTTGGTAACTGCAGCAAATGAATCTAGGCCCCTGCCTGGTGATTTAGAGATTCTGGTGGTTAAATCTAGTAAACAAAGAATGCAGTTGTAAATAACTCCTTTTGTTGCAAAATGATTAATATTTCTATAATGCAAGCAAATCATGGGTACTCTGCCTCCAAGGTCCCCTGCAAAAGAAGGGATTTCTTCCTGGGAATAGTTCTTACTGTTCAGGGTGATTTTTTGTTAGTCCTGCATTATGATTCTAAGAAGCCGTCGATCTGGTTATCTGCAGCAGCAAGCTCTGTCCATGAAGGAATACTAGAGGGCGTCCTGAGTGCTGACTTCATTAACCTCACCCGGGCGTTACTTCTGGGTGGGCAGATGCTTTTCAGTGCCTCCCCTGCCACCAGGAGGGAAGGAACAGGAGAAGTCCCAGAGTCGGTGTAGCTTAATACCACTACTGGAGATTTGGACTTGAAGATAACCTTTGGTGAATTTATCGACCAGGCAGGTTTCATAAAGTTGTCAATAAATTTGGCATTCTAACTGCTTTTGTTACACCTAGCACTATCTAGATCACAGGTGGCAAACATAAGGCCCTTGGGCCGAATCCAGCCCTCCACCTTCTTTTATCCAGCCCAGCACCTTGTTTCTGCTGGGCAGCAGCACCAAGTTCTTGCTTAACTGTTAAGGAGTAGTTACATTTATACAGTCCTAAAATCATATTTGGCCCTTTGAAGGCAACCTCGAGGCTGATGTGACCCCCAGTGAAAATGAGATTGACACCCCTGATTTAGATTCATGTAGGGAATTGACTAGCTCTAGGTTTGAAAGAAGGAATATGGTGGACCTAATGGATGGACAAGTCAGATGCAAGTCTGTAGGTATGTGTTCAGTGTCTTTAAATATTTAATAGTATAATGGCAGGCACGGTAAGGAGAGGATCAGCCAGGTTACTTTATATGCTTTTTGAGTCTACATCTTGAACCAACATGACGCAATTGAAGCAGGTCCAAATAAAAGTAATATTGTGGAAGTAAAAAAATAAGACCTGTGGGAAAAGTTTTTAAAAACTGAATTTGTTCTGTCTGGTACCAGCACTGCTCCAGGGCTCTAGGGATGAGCTGCACTAGGCTCAAGCCTTTGTGCCTCCAGACAAGGCATTCGGGGCCTCTTGGCTTTAAGCTGTCCTGTGAAAAGGAGGCTGGCCGTCCTTCCACCTTTATATTTACTCCCTGCATTCAAAGGAGGTGTCTGCAAGTTACTCTTCATTTTCACAGCACAAAAAAGAAGTGATTTAAAATTGCATTGGCAAGTTTAAAGATAATATTTTTACAAAGAATAAATCAACAATAAATATACTGTGCCACTAATAGAAACAAATTATAAATTTATGTATTTTTATATTACTCTTCTCAGTGTTATTTGTGGATTCGCCAAAAACTGAATCACAATTTTTTAAAAGACTTTTTTTTTTTGAGAGAGAGAGAAAGAGGGGAAGGGAAACAGAGAAACATTGATGTGTGAGAGAAACATCGATCTGTTGCCTCACATGCACTGCAGCAGGAACCTGGCCCACCACCCAGGCATGTGCCCTGACTGGGAATCAAACCAGCGACCTTTTTTGCAGGATGACACCCAACCTACTGAAACATAGCCCCCAGGGCTGAATTACAATCTTAAATAAGTCCCATCCTACCAGCAAAAGATAGCGTTTTACTTAAGTAATACTTGTCTCAAAAGCTTTATGTCATGCTGTACAAACAGAGATAAGTTATGAGTTTGCTTTATTGTTTACCCCTGCTACGTCATCATGTTTATGTGTTCAGTCATTCATTTTTTATGTTATTAATTTTAAGAAACCCTTAAAGTAGCCACTTGCATTATTTACTGTCAAGAACAAGGACCTGTGATGACGACTAAGTAAGACTGCTGACAGGACTTTTTTCTTCAGAGTTTGTAAAAACGTTTTTTGGGATGTTAAGTTTTTATTGTCACTGCAAAATTTATGTGTTTCTTTTTCCCACAGAACTAAAGCATTTTAAACTTGCTATTTTAATTTAATTCTGGGACTATAATAGCATTGGGAGCATGTAGAAGGAACTAGAAGAGGAGAGCACAGGCCTTGTTAGCCCTGTGTCATACAGAGCAGCAGGGAGTCACCACCTGGTTTGTCCTCAGCTCCAGAGGACCTCAGTGGGGGAGCAAGGAGCCCGGGGCAGGCCACTTGGAGGCCATACTTTCACCAGAGGCATCTACATCGATAGCAGCAGTTGCCCATACAAAATCAAACAGCCATTACTTTCCTGTCCTTTGTAAAATTTAATGCCCAGCCCCTTTTTCTGCATTTTATTTCCCCATTTTAGAACTGTTTCACAACCAGGAATGGTTTTCTGAGAACTAGAGACCAAGGAGGCTATATATCATGCATGGTGTTGCAATTCTCCTGATAAAACAGATGATCAGTCTCTCTTTTTTCTACTCTCCTTCACTTACTTTGAACAAGGTGCTAGGACACGCTGGTGATGCACACTTTCCTGGTCCTTCCAGGCTGCATGTTCATGGGGGTGGGGGCCGCACGACAGAACCACCCCATCTTACTGGCTCTCTCTTACACTGGGTCAGGGTCTTCATTTTTAGTGATCCCAGTTCTTCTCATCTTGGTTCAGCTCTACAGGCAGTAATGAGAACCAATGATAGAAAATACATGAAGTGAGAAATGATCAGAAAAATTGTTTTTCTCCTGTAAGACACAGTAAAGAATTGCAGTTTAGTCCTCAGTGAAGAGTTTACCTGAAAAGGTAAGCCTGGTTAATCGTTTCCTTTTAGGAAATAAAACAGTGTAAACTTTGGAAAAGCATCATAATCACGAAGTTCCCTGAGAAAGTCAATACCCCACAAAAATAGAGAAAGTAATAGTGTTGATCTTATACACATGTGGGTTGTTCCAACATCTCACTCATTCCCTTTACTACCTAGATATTTTATGAGGCTTCTTAAACCAAAATGTCATGTGCCATTCAGGAACTTAGCCAGGTTTATGTAATCAAAATATTTGGGGGCAAAGTCAGACACCATTAGCAGCCCTTTGAGTTATCCAAAGGGTAACATGCCCCCTGAATTGTGTAGGAAATAGCCTCATGAAAAAGAGCGATTTGTGCTAGAAAAATAGAAAATAAGGAAAATTCTTCAGAAATAAGATTATCTTTTAAAAAATTTTTTAAATTTGTTTTATTTATTTGAGAGAGAGAGAAACATCAATTTGTTGTTCCACTTATTTATCCATTCCTTGGTTAATTGTTGTATGTGCCTTGACGGGATAGAATCTACAACCTTGGTGTGTCTGGATGATGGTCTAGCCACAGCAGATTGTCTTTTAAAGCAGTGATGCAGAATGTAAAATCTGATACAGCCAGATTGTAATGGCAGGGGAGGGGGGTTGAGTTTGGGGGGAGGAGGAGTGACACATGAAAAACCTACAGTAAACCAGGCTGTGATCTCACCATATGTGTTGAATTGAACACAACTCTTCTGCATTTAATGAAGAACTTTAGCCTTTAGGGGTAAATAAAACATCACTAAACAGGGATGGCCTGAATATTTTTTTTTTTTACTGGCTGAATAATTAAAGCCATGAAAAGGTGGTGGGTTATGTTACTTATTAACTTGAATCACTCCTAGATTCGATCAAGACGTGGTTGCCCATGGCATTTTGTTTCATGCTTGTCCTTTGTTTCATTGACATGCTCTGCCCTGGCCTTTGTGGCACTGTAAAAGCAGCCAGGCAGTTAGGAACCAGATCCAAAAGGGCTTTAGACCTCCTGTCCAGCTTCCTTCTCCCCTCCTGTCCCCCCTTCAACCTTTTAGCCACTAGAATTGAGCCTGAAATCCCCTACAATGAGCTGTGTACTTGAGGGAGGTGAGGAGAGGGAGGGGAAGAAATCTTTCCCTCTTAAAAAGAAATTGATCAGAGTTCAGGTGTAACTGAGAGCTTTTAAAGGGTGTTTTTATTTTCTTCACAGGTTGAGCCAAAGGTTTAAAAGCATTGAGGTTCCTTATAAGAGGAGCTTGGGACCCAGATATGTTGGCTTCCTGTTGCTGCTGCAACAGATTACCACAAATTCAGTGACTTAAAACAACACAGATTTATTACAGTGGCTGGAGGTCAGATGTCCAAATTTTGTCTCACTGGACTAAAATCAAGGTGTGGGCAGGCCTTCGTTCCTTTCTGCGGGCTCTAGGGGAGAATCTGTTTCCCTGCCTTCTCCAGCCTCAGAGGCCCCTGCATTCCTCGGCCCATGGCCTCTTTCTTCATCTTAAAAGCCAGAAAAGGCAAGACGAGTCCTTCAAAAGCAGCCGTCCCTCTGGTTCTCTTTTCCCTGCCTGACTTCTTCATTTTAATGGGCCTTGTGATTGTCTTGGGCTCACTGGGATAATCTAGGATCATCACCCCATTTCCAGGTCATTTGATTGA